TAGAGAGGAAACTATTTTCTTTTTCTAAACAGTTACAATTTTGGCAATTTTTTATTGTCATAATTATTGTGTTGTGTATTATAACTAGAATATTGTAACAATATTAATAGAAAAGCGCAATAAATTAATAATAAAGTTTACAAGTTTATAATTAAAAAATTAAATCTATTGAACAGAGAAACCAGGATCTTGTCCATCGGTACCGACAGGAAGATGGGTATGCACATCGACTTGTAATGGCGACAACGATTGCAAAGGGACATTAAAATGTTGCAAAAATAGATGTGGAGCCCTAGCTTGTCAAAAACCAGAAGTACCCGAATTCGTCGAAAATCCAATTGTTTCGCGCTTCGGAAATGATTATATTGATTACTATCCGTAATCTCGATTTTTATGTGCCTATTACATTTATATAATAATTAATAAATCTAGCACTAATTTCATAACGATTATCTCATTAAATAATAAAATAATTTTTAGTAATAAATTTTATTTCTTACTAACTTAACGTGTTTAATACGTACAATTATATATATATTTTATTATATATTATTTACAATAATTAATTTTTATACAAGCAATCTATCAATAATCTTCTTGTCTGCAATTTGATATAATAAGGAAGTATACTATATTTAGTAATATAATTGCGTAATTGCTGCAATTATATTTTTGTCACCTAAAATTTAAGTATTTAGCAAAAATTATTAAATTATCATGTACACAATTAAGAAAATAATTTGTATTTTTATTTTTCAGTTTTTATCTGTCGCATTTCCAGATAAATTTATTGAACATTAACAAAATAAAATAATAAAAAATTTATGTAATTAAAATTACTAAAAGGAATTTAGTTATGCATCCCAGAGGATCATTTAATAAATCTTTACTAATCGATAATTCTAATAGACAGACTGATATAAAGAAAGCCTAAGATTATGTAAGAAATAATATCAAGAAAAACGCACTTATTACGAGAGATAGATATATTATTATGACTCAAACTCCTCACCTCAGTATATAAATATGTGTCGACATAATGTGCATTTAATTACATTAATCTTTATTTTTAATATATTATATTTTAAGTAAATATTTTAGTAGTTAATTTGATAAACAAAGCGAACTGCACATCTACATCAACTCTATGTATTGTAATTACCACATAATTATAGCCTTGCTTTATTTGAGTCATCAATTCGAAATTCGAGGCAATAAACAAAGATTGAACAACTATAAGTATTAAATTAGAATACATTAAATTACAACTATTTATAAAGCACGAAATAACGAGAAGATTTATGAAGACGATTCTATAATTATACTTTTAATCAATAACTAAAAATAATTCGTGATTATTATAAAGATATTATATTATCTAAAAAAAGATATCAGAATTTTTCCTCAATTCAAATTTTTCTTTAAACATAGAAACAAATTATAAATATAAATATTAATTAAGTAAGTACTTCTAGCTAAATTAAAATAAATCAAAATAAATGTAAATTATAAGTTATGGACCTTCAGCGTAACTGCGACAACAGTAATCAATGTTACCGCTCGATTTTAAAAAGAACGCGTATATTTTGTTGTTATTACAACGTTAACAGCTAAAACTGTAATGCCAATTACGTGATTAAGACGGTTAGCGATGCATAATATCATCATGATGTAATATATGAAAAAAGAGAGAAAAAACGCTCGAGTTCAAATAAACGGTATCGTGAAGACTTTCATGAATCCATGCTATAGCGAGTTACTAAGGCACAAATTATGATTTACTCGTCATGTATATTCTTCTTTCGTCACATACTCGATCAATATCAGAGAGGTGGAAAGCGTTATAAAAGCTGATGTTTTTATTATTGTGTATCTAGAAGTCTCGTCGGAACCTCACCGCGAAGTTTTAATCGAGTATCCAAGAAACCAACGACTCATGATGAATCGTGAGTATTTAAACTGTGCAATCTTAAAAGTTATAGATGCTACGCACTTCTCGACAATGTAATACACGACTTTCATGTAATATCATTAACATAAGTCAAAATTATAGTACGCTTTTAAGTGTTTAGCAATTCGAGCAAAAGCACTAGGTTAATTCTATTAAATAAATTATGTAAATGTATAATTAAACTCTTATTGAACAAATGTATATTTAAATAATTAATTCAATATTCAACGCCGCGTTGAAATAATTAATATTAAACAAAGGTTACAAAATAAAAAGCATACAGCCACAGCTCAAGATATCAATAAGTTCAATATTATTATTTTATTTTAACATGTAGACGTTTCGGTCGAAAAACTTGCAAATATAGGAGACTTCTATCCATAGAATTTCGATGACTATTATCGCAGACAAAACGAAAACGATTGCGTATAATTCGGATAAAGAAATAAAAATGTTACAATCATCCTTCGAATTTTGTATTTGATTGATCCAAATGTAATTTTTAATCACGTATATTGAGTCGGACTAATTTGTAAAAATAGGAAATATTAAAATTATACTATCTGTCAATTTGTTATTCGTAAAAATATGTTCTTTGTTTAAACTTAACGAATTTGTGTACTGAAGAGGGTCAAATCTTGACCGAAAGCTGTGGCTGTATGTTTTTATTTTGTAACCTTTGTTAAACTTTTAGCCACTTTCTTATAATTTAAAATTTAATATTAAACAGTTATGTGTTATGTGATACTGCTATTAATTTCTGTGAATGGCACGTATCTATATGGTCTCTCTTTTAAGATCGCTCACATAAATTGGGTTATAATTACATTCTCTGAAATTAATATAGCGTTTGTATAATATTTACTTTTCAGGAAGCTTATTACTGTTCGCGGTATTGCTAGTTCTACTAACCACCGACACATCCTCTCAGATGTTTTGTAAGTAATCACTATCATTTACGCACAGAAAACTAAGAAGAAACGTACGCAATTGTATTTTGGTGTAGATTTCACGTAATAAGAATACCTGTTCTATTTTCAGTTCATGCTCTTTCTCTCGCTCTCTTTCTCTTGTTCTGATTTAATTGCAGAATTATATCAAAAGTTAAATAAATGCATCATTTTTTAAATACTTATGTCTAGTTGAAAAGTAAAAATTCTATAATAGAATCCATCTCTTCTCTCACAAATTGTATATAATCGTTTATCTCTTAAATTTTTTTTTTTTAACAGCTTATAATATGAAAATTATTAGCATTAATAATTTAGCTTAAATTTTTTTGCCAGTAATAATCAATTCCGAACTTTTTATAAGAAAGATTATAACTACACTTTTTCAATTCTAATGATATACTTATGTAAAAATTTCATAGTTTAGATTTAGACTTAATTTTGTAAGACGTATATCTGCACATAGGAAAAGAGAATGACGAATGCGACATTAATATCTGAACTACGTAATATTCAATTATAGTCTCCTCGCGAATGTCAGCGAAATAAACGTGTCAATTACGACTCTACAACTCACGATTAACTTGCAGAGCGATACTGTCATTTAATCAAAACGTCAAAACGTTCAATGTAAAGAAAGACAAGGCAATTATTTCTTAATAATGTGTTAAAAAAATGACGATGGAATAAACGATTACTGTTTACAATACTAATAACTCGAGATACTAATTGCTAATAGTATTGACAAATCAATCGCGAGAATCGTAAAGACTAAATAAAACAAACGCCCTAGAAATTAATCCGAAGAAAATCACGGAATAGCTCTCTTGTTTGTTATAATCATCAATCATTTTCTAGACAAAAGTGGCAACTGTCCGATGAGGAATACCGTGACCAATTGCACTCCTAGATGTATAGGAGATGCACAGTGTCCGTATAATCAGAAATGCTGTCCAAACAAATGCGGCCACACGTCATGTGCCAACGTAAGCCCAGTCAATACCGGCAGCGATGGCGGATACAAAGGCTCAAGTAGTATGTACATATGAGAACACATATGTTCTATGTTTTTATAATAGATAAAATTAATCTTTTGAGGTCCTTCGTGTCGAGCTGAGCTCGACATACTTCCCGGTAATCTGTCGCAATTGAAATCGACAAACTATATTTTTGCCATTTTTAAAATCTCTATAAATTCCTCCAGACAATAAAAATTCCTCACAAATCATGTTAGATTCACCGATCACGTAAAATCGAAGACAAAATATCTGATCTTTGCTCATTTGTAAGAGAGAAATTCAATCGCAAAGGATTAAGATAGATTTATATACAAATGTATTTAAAAAGAAGAAATTAATCTTGGAATTTTATTTATTGGTTTCTCAAGTGTCTTGAACTATCGGAACATTCCGTTACGTGTTTTTACAGATAATGCCGTTTACTGCAATGGAGTGAGGTGCGCCGCATACGAAAAGTGCCAATATGACCGCAATACCAGACGCGACAAGTGCACGCGTGTCTAAATACATGAATTCTCGATCATTGTTACTATATGGCAAACGGGTATCTGATGAAATTTGATTCACAAATTACAGAAAAAGAACGTACTAATTTCTTTTTGACAAAAATGCGAAATCGGCATTTCTTTCTAATTTTCTTATAACACGGATTTATTTAATAAGATTCTTTCATTTTTATGGACAAATATCATGATTAACATTATTATTTTTAAATCATTGTCAAATAAAATTATTTAAAAACAAGCAAAAAAAGGTTGTTTTATACAAGTAAAAAATAATATTTACCAAGGTAATTGCTCCATCAGTGCCCGATGTTTCTCCCAGACCTCCTCCTCTCAGAATTGGGTTGACATCTTCTCGCACAGGACACTCGCGTAAAACACTCGCGAATAATATACTATAATCGCGCGCGAACTATAACTGAGTCCGATAACTTGAACGGCACTCCCGAAGTAAAACGCGCGACACGACGAACCGGCTGCGATTCGTTCATTTTGAAGTAAATCGGCGACGAGGGTTAGCTTCCCCGTTGGATTTATACACAAAGAGAACAATTTTACTCAATATCTAAAAAATTTATTTAGATACATCATTCAGATAGATCCGAAAATTTCTAGATGATTGAGAAAAACTGTTCTTTTCATGTAAATATTATCATTGCAGTGAACAGTGAATAATAGAATGCAATTATCGAAAGATCGTTTAATATCGAGTAATCGATCTGCCGACCAATAGCGAAACGTCACAATTATCCGGAGAGGGATGTAGGTTATGTACGTACCAAGTAGGCTTGAGTGGTTCCCGGTTTACTATTAATTTCATATTTCGTGTAAGAAGGACGCGAGACGATGTAAGGGAGAATCGACGACGTCGTCTCGTCTTGCAAGATGGATCGCCGATTCTGCGTCCGTGCCGGGTAGACCACGTAAACGTCCGTCTTCCGGCTCCGGAGGAGAGGTTAGCTCTCCGTCCAAGCCGACCGTGCCGAAAATGGCTGTGGAGTTTTTGATGAATCGGCTTAAGGCCTTGTTCGTGTTACTCTTCGGTATATTTAAGCGCGCGATGTGCTGCCTCCGACGTCGAAGACGATCGTCCTGCGACTCCGTGCCCTTGTCCACCGTCGGTGTGGTGCCGAATGTTCTCACTAGCTCGACGGTACATACTTCTCATTTATGCAATATCTCCCATGTATAAAATGAATCTATTTTTTATGCAGTTTTATAAATATGTTCTTGTTTTGATAAAAACTACTGTACTGTCTTAAGATATCGAAACAGGCTAAAAAATGTACAATCTTTGTATCATGAGTCTATTTTTTTATGATTGAACTAGTGTACACTTTTGAAACTTACGTCCGTATTCATAGTCAAGACTTTGTATTTAACACTTCCTTAAATTTATCTTTAAATGCTCAGCAGCAATGAAATAATTCGTAGAGTATCTAAAGATAAATTTAAGGAAGCCTTAAATATAAGGCCTGAAGACTATGAATACGAGTGTTAAAACGAGATAGATATATATTTAATATTTGGCAAGAGAGTCTAGTATAGGAATATAAAACAGATATAATCTTTATGGATTATACTAAGATCCAGTTGCACCAACATCACTTCGACTTTAAGATTTGACTTTAAGATAAAACCTTTTTCTGTCTCATTTTAAAGCTGAAAAAGAGACAGAGAAAGAGAGTTTTAAGCCTCTCGCTTAAAATCAAAGTAACGTTGATGCAATTGGGCATAAATTGGAGGATATAGTTGCTTATGTATTAAGGTTTTGTAATAATACTTATTAAGTATGCTTATTTAAGGAATTGGAGCAATGGGATAAGTGGGAAGAAAATCCAGTTGTTGTTATACCAGATAAGCCAGTTAATACTGTACAAGCTAAGATAGAGCAGTATCGACAACAAGTGATTAAGGCTCCTGAATCGCCCACTGAAGAACAGCTTAACTTTTTTGAGGTAATTCAAGCTAATTCTGACAGTCACTTTAATAAGAATAGTAAAAATTTTATCTTTGCATCTTGTGTAGGATATGACTCCAAAAATCACTAGACAAGCAAAGATTCTAATAAAAGATAAGCATGCAGATGGCTCATCTCGTAACATTGCAAAATTCACGGCCATGGATCCTGTTCCGACTGTAAGTCTGTACTTGCAAACTTATAATATTCCGGAGATTTACATTCCTGTTATCTGTCTTCAGAATGAATTAGGAGAATGGGAAGAAAACTCCGCTGGTTGGGAAGTGGACGATTTCAATGATCCTACCAAAGTGCTACGAGAGCAAAGAAGGAGAGAGCGGGAACAGCGATTAATGGAACAGCAGCAGAAAAGGCTGGAACGTACTGCAAAACCACAACCCTTGGGTGCAAAACTGTGTTCCTGATGCGAGATCACAAATGCGTGGGAATTAATATCAAAATACACAATGTATATTTTAATGGGATACATGCCGGATATTTTTAATATAGAAATTGGCATGTTCGTATAACCCTTTATTGCTCGATATAATTTTCAATATCACGTGATAATTTTATCTTGCTTTTTTATTATTGCGCATCAGTCATTACAAGTTTAAAAATATGACGCGGAAATTTCTTCTTTAAATGTTGCATCTTCAAAAAATACAGATTTGTTATATTTTATTTCCTATATATTATATTTGTACATTAAATATTTTTAATCTTCCAAAAGGGCACTAGAGAGTTAATCATTAGAGAAAATGCAATACATTTACTTGAAACAGAGTGATAAAATTGCATGAATATAGAGTATTATGTTAATGCATTATATTATCTTAGAAGATTGACTGTTTTGTTATATCATCTTATTGAAGTGTGTAAATGTACTCGTGGACACACATTTTTCAGTATTTAAATTCATATTATTTCTTTTAATACTTTGTAAACGGAAAAATAATGTGTAAACAGCGTCGATATGATTATTCTTCCGAAAAAATAGTATTTGTAGACATTCCATATGAATTTTGTACAATCTCGAATGTGATGCGTGAACTTCTGCATGAGCGGATAATCGTTTTGTAAGTTTATAATAAGTCGATGTATAATAACCAGGCGGAACCTATCACTTAACAAATGTTTGTTAAATCATTTATGAGTCTATAATCTTTATGAATTTTATTAAAAGCTAAAATCTCGGAGGCTGTGTAGGAAACAAAAGAGACTTTAGCGCGATGCTTCGACTTGTTATATTTTTTCCTTTTGTTATTCATGCACAATTGCAAAAAATGGCATGGATCGTGGATTTTAAAATGTTTCATAATAAAAAAAGGAATTCGTTTACGTTTGGATTTGGCAATCCCTGACTCTCAAACATTCTATATCTACCAATTAAATATATCAAGTGTCTTTGCTGATTTCATGATCTCAGAAACTGCATTTATATGATGCAAAATTGTGTCTAAAATCCCACATCATTGTGAAAGAAATTGAATTATTAAGCAAGAAAGGAATACCCACATGATGGATAAAAAAAATTGATCAAATAATTTCTATCAAATTTCAGTTAACTTATCAGGAAATACCTATACTATTTTGTTCACAGAATTATTTATTTTTTATTATAATATATGGAGAGAGAAAAAGATCAGAGACATAACAAAATATACAATTCGAAATTTTACTTTTAGACATTCCAACAATTAAATTAATCGATTTCACTCGATTGAGATGATCCTCAATCATTCGAATTCGTCAGAAAGATTCATTTCATCTACAGACGGACTAACGCATATCTCAGACAAACGTATGATTCATGTCAATTCGATCGTCACGTGCACAACGTCAACATTAAGAGGTGAGTTGTTCGTCAGTCTTCGATCCCGTGGAAGATCAAGGAAGGGGAAACCAGAATAATCTGATCGGAACTATCGGAAGCGCGCGTCGCGTCACACGCCACCACACGTACGATCTCGCTGAAGACAGCTGGAGGACAGCTCAGGACAGCTGGGGGCTATTGATGATCGGCCGTTACGTGTCCGAGATCGAGACGTAGGAAAATTTCTTGCGAGAAAATTGTGAGACGCGGGCCATCGAACCCGGGTATGTCGACGGTGAATCGCTGCTGAATTCCAGTGGAAGGAGAGAGACGGCAGGGAATCGACGGTCGCGCAACGAGATAACCAAGTTGATAGGCGAACCGACGATAGGTTCGGCTCGTGTAAACACAGCCTCGTAGACGCGATCATGAACGATTGCGGGTATTGCGGCTCACTTGGGCTCTGCGGACGGTCGTTCGTCCGGTGAGAGAGCGAGAGGGTAAATTTCTGTTTCTCGGAGCGGGATAGGATAGCCGGGGCTCGCGCGGACACGGGGACACACGAGACGTATACGTATTTCTGTGGTAACGCGAAGGATTGATTTCCAGGTACCGCGGTACCCGCTTTATCTGAATACGATGTGCCGCACGATAAGACCTGCAGCTTAATTGGGATTTTCGTCGTGACTCATTTTGCTGTAAAATAGATCTAAAATCATGTAAAGTGAGGTGGAAGAACATCATCGTTGCAGTATAGTTTATTTAGTCGCGAAAAAAAAAAACGCAACAATGGGTTCCATCGCTCTGGAGGAGTACGAGTTGATGAAGGACTCCAAGTATCGGGTGTAAGTTGAAGACAGATTAGCACATTTAGCATCACTGACACATACAACTCGATAAACATTACACAACGTTATAGTAATTTACATTTCATAGCTTGATGTTTGTACATTGTCTCGTTAAAAAATTTGGTGCTATAAGTTGTATTTATCACATAGCTATGTATCTGCTGTCGACAAGGCCCTGAAGAGTTTCGAATACACGAGTGAATGGGCAGATTTAATCTCTGCCCTAGGAAAGCTCAACAAGGTGTTATTGAGCCATATGAAGTTTCCCGTTATTCCAAGAAGAATCAAAATATCAAAGAGATTAGCCCAATGCATGCATCCGGCATTACCTTCTGGTGTTCACTTGAAAGCTTTAGAGACATATGATATTATTTTTAAGTGTATGGGTACTAATAGGCTTAGTCATGAGCTCTTTATCTATAGTGCAGGTGAGTATATGCGTTAAATGAGAGAAATAATTATAGATTCACATTCTTTATATTTATTCTCATTTAGGACTATTTCCATTGTTGGGCCATGCTGCTATGAATGTCAGACCATCGTTGTTAACGGTATACGAAACACACTTTGTACCACTTGGCGAAAGGTTGAGACCAGGATTAAGTGGTTTTTTAAGCGGCGTTCTCTTAGGCCTAGAAGATGGATCTGATCATTTTGACAGGTGCAACCTACGTTATTTTTGTAGCATTCCTTGTGTATATATTCATAAATAATAATTCATAAATAGATATGTACATAAGTAATATAGAAATTTATGGAACATTATTTCATATTAGAACTAATTCTTTACTGGAAAAAGTGTGTGAGGGTGTGGGTGCAGAACATTTTTATGCGTGCCTCTGGGACTGCTTGGCTTCAAATTCTGGCATTCGATTACCTGCGATATCATTTGTACTAGCACATTTCAACAAAAAACTGTCGATGGAGGAGCAAAAATATATTATGGGTACTAATATTAAAATTATGGTAAGAAAAATTTTAACACTATAAATTTATCTTAAGATTTCATTCTCTAACATATTGATTTAAAAAGATTTCAGCCTTATGTGCTGGAGTACAAGACACTTCGGTGCTAGTGCAAAGAAGTGCACTGGATTTTCTGTTGATAGGTTTTCCTATGCATAATAGTCAATTGACACATCCAGATATGATACTGTTAATAAAAGCTGCTTTAGTTACTATATTACGAAGGGACATGAGCTTAAACAGGTAAAGGAAACTGCAATGTGTAATAGTCTTCTGCATATCTTTATTTTTGCATATATTTTTTTATCATGTAATTGTAGACGTTTGTTTGCTTGGCTGTTGGGCACCGAAGTAAGCACATCAATTTTAAAGAAAAAGAACCATGCAATTACAGACACTAAAGAAAGTGTAACATACTTTGATATGTATTCGAAGGAAATGCTAGTTGAAGCGATAAAATATCTACTTAAAGAAGTATGTGAAGAAAATTCGCAAGATCTGAAGCCATATAGGATACTTGTTTCGTTACTTGATAAGGTGGATATTGGACCAATAATTTTAGATGATATTCTGTTTGAAGTATTTAGGTAAGATCGTCTGTGCTACATAATTATAAAATAAAATCTGTTAAAATTGAAACCATTCATCAATGTATTTTTTAATATCCTTGCATTATTCATTTTAGGACATTTTATAATGCATGCAAACAATTCATGCCAAGTCACACACCGAAAGCAAATGAAGTGGTAAAGTCTGCGAATCTGTTATTCTCAACTTTGGAACCATCTTATATCTGGATACATTGTGGGCATCTGTTTGAGAAAGCCTGTAATACTAGAGCAAAGATGCAAGTCGCGATCGAAGACGTTGTTGTAAGACCGGTTGGTAGTGGAATGCCGAATCTCGTGGAAGTATGCGTGCTAACAGAATTTTTACTTGAAACTGTGTCGTTGGATGCGTTTATAGACACGCCATCTGAACATCTTCCTGGCTTATTTTACGAAATAATCAGCAAACTTTTACATCACAGTAATATTCTGTCCCCAATAGAAATCTCGAAAAGTCTCAAATTGTGCGCCAAGATCTTATCGAAGGTGCAACCAACAATGATAACGACTCATGCGGATAAGTGTGAAATAGATGCCAAGTTGGACACGTCTCTGAATAGCATTACAGTCCCCAGTGATAATTCTCTGACGGCAATCCCTTTAGAGAAGAGTCAGTCAGATAGTAAATTGAATAAGCCCGATACATCCAATATCTCTCTCTCTTTCACGGAGAAAAGCCCAAGTACAAGAAGAAGAGCCAATTCTGGCAGTGCCGCTAAAAGGAGCGAGAAGAAGTCGAAGAAAAAAGGAAGTAAAAGCACTTCCAAGTTAAATGACACGTACACTATACAGGCTGATGGCAGCAAGATATCCGTTGTAGTGAGTGAAGATACGAAACCTTTACCTAGAAATAAAAGTATGGACGATATTAAAGCAAGCTGCGTTGAAATCGATGATATCTCTTCATCGGTGATTCAATCAGACAGTCGTCTGTCCATGTTAAAACATTTTAAGAATGTTACTCCAATGGGATCCACGGGATCCTTATGTAGGGGACCATCTCCAGCATTTCAGGCACAGCATTCCATGTTAGAAAAGTGTCTCCGGCAATACGAGATATTTTACGTTAAATTAATTAGCAACCGGATACTTAGCAAAGAGAGAACAGTGCAGGATATGTTCGATCATTTAGTGGTGTCTTCTCCGAGAAAGAGTTTCGACGAGAGAATGCGTTACTTGGAATTTATGCTAAATTCGAGATTAAGCATAGACGATTCCGGATTCTTTAGTCAAGATTCATCCGTAACTGAAGATACCAAATGCCTGGATATTTTTCATCTATTTCTTGATATGACGACGCATTCAGAATGGATCGAAGCCATGAAAATAGCATCCA